AATATTTGAGAGGGAGCTTCCGATAAAAATTCGGCTCGAGAGAGGAGTTCACTGTATTTCGACCAGAGAAAAAATCTCAAAAGTTTTCTAAAGTAGGAGTCTTCACCTCTCTGAATTTAAATTCTACTAACATATTATTTTATTCTTTTATTACGTTACAGGTGTGAGCATTAGTTTACGCTTTAAACACCTCAAGCTTTTATTACGTTACAGGTGTGAGCGTTAGTTTACGCTTTAAACACCTAAAACCCACGTCCTTTAGTGGACGTGGCAAGAGCATGGAAACACAAAGCTTTTAAACGAAAAGCTTTGAAAAGTAGCGATGGTCCCTAAACACCATCATGTTCAAACGAATCATCATGTATTAAAAGTTTATTTATTTATTTTTTTATTATTTTTTTATTTTTTGAAAGTTTAGGATTGTTACACAAGCCATCTCAGTTTGGGACAAACTCTGGGATACATATATTCCCACGGCCCATATACACCCCTCCACATGATATCGTAGGAGGTTGATGTGGTGCGATGGGCCTTTTTGAATCCATCGTCTCCCAAGGATAAAGTGTTTGACAGACAACGCGTAAGGAAACCTCGCCATATGATATCATAATGGGATGTATCCGTGCAGATAGGATCCATGAGGCCTCTTTGTGCCTCTAGTCTAAGAATTGTTTAAGTTGGACATCATCGGCGGTAAGATATGACTTGACTAACACCCCCAAACTTTATGTTTGAGATTGGTCTAAAACCTTCGAAAATTCATATTTAAGGCATTATAACCCTCACTTTGAGGTTTCACATCATTCGAAGTTGACTTAATCTATCATCTGCCTCCATTGACAACCAAATGTTTATGTGTCGTTTGCCGGATAATAGTTAGAATGACCTCCAATCACCCAAATTGAGGTTTCTCTCTATCTACAAGGAATTTTCTCATATGGTTCTCCTTAGAGAAAGCGGCAAGCCCTACATTAGTCATCATAAACCCTATGTAAAAAACTTGACCGATGGTGTATGGCATCTCCTGATATACGGCGAATCTTGAGCCCAAATTTTGTGGAGATGTGTGTCGTAGTTCCCTCAACAAGATTATCATATCCCCAGGGTCTATAATCCCTTGTGGTGGAAGTGGTTGTAGCTGCAACTCTCTAATTTACTGCTGTAATTTCCATCAGAGGGGGTCAACTTCAACAAATCATATCTCTTTCAGCCCTGACCCATTTGAAGTCAAGCTTGGACCGTTTGTGTTCATCTCAGAGTCTGATATCATATCTCCAAATTTCATGATCAATGGATGCATCATTAGAAAGCGGTAGAAGAAATGCGAAGGCATATCAATACAGTGCGCAACAGACTGATTGACGATAGTTAAGAATAATCTAATTCCTTATTTTTCTTACGCAATATCTTACTGAATCTTGAGAAGTCACTCATTCAAATTCAAATATCGGATGAGATAAACATTAATCAGGCATATAGCTTCAACAAAACCATCTCCACATGAATTTAAATTCAAACGAAGATATATGTTTATCATCTTAAATCGTGCAAGATAAGAATGAATGGTCAACGAAGGGATATGCATTATGAACCTCACTTTTCAGTGAGAGGGCAGAAGATAATAGACACAGAAGGATACACACACAATGAGGCGTGTACCATTTTATTTGCTATCCTTGTGCAAAAGAGAGAGAGAGACAGAGAGAGAGAGAGAGAGAGTAGAGTGATTGTGTATCCACTGTCAAAGAAAGAACATGCCACTAACTTTGTTGTTCATTGATCTATGCTACAAGAATCTGATTGAGAGAGAGAAGATATTTAATCCTGGCTCACTTGAAGCCCAATTTCAAAGAGGGAGCAATCCACGAACAATACCCCTTGTAAGTAGTCACGTATTTGGGCCCATATTGCCCGCGATATTGATATTTTTTTGTTTGTCTATATATTTGTCTTTCTAAGAGTCGTATGTAAAGGCTTCAATGATCGAATCAAGGGTATTCAGCCTAACCTTTAGGTTGATGTAAACTATAACAGAAATTTAAGTCTCTGGAATTCCTAAGTACCCAGTCTTATTTGCAAAACCCTTTGTTTCTATAATGTCTAAAACATTATAGGGCAAATTTGGCTCCAATTGTGTAAAACCCTTTGTTTTACTAACGCAATACATTTTCAGAGTGACCAAATCTTTGGCAACTCCATTGGGGAGGCATTCACCCTTCCATCTCGTGTTGAGTATAGAAAAACAAAAGAAGTATTTTCTCTCTAAGGTTGATCCTCTTGACAATCATTCTTTAGTTCAGCCTTGTTGCAGGGCATTTTTGATGCACTTGTTTCCCCGATGCAA